CTCAACTACGTTTAGATAAACAATTAATGAATTGTGGTATTGAAGAGGTGATACGAGGATATAGGATAGTTGAGTATCCGAGGACAGAATGAGAGATACCACAACTGTTTAGAAGGCAATTGGTTAAAGTATCGACTTTACTTGTCTCTCTGACGAGTTATAGTATGGTGCTAAGACTGGCAAGTCTCAATGATGATGCCGGCGAAGCGCCTGGTAATATACCAAGTTCCCAGTCCGACTGGCAATCATTATGCATATTATGGACTCCGAACAAGGTGCGTCCCTCTAGGTCCTCCTGAGACTATGACCAAGTTGCAAAAACAAGGTCAAACAACCCCTAAATATTATTACACTTCAAAGACTTAGAAGGCAATTTTTAAAAAAGAATTAATTAATTGCAAAATACAAGCAACAAAATGATCTCAAAGCCTTAATCACAGCCCAAATTTTGGCAAAAGTATTATTATTGCATGGAGCTATCTCTATATATCGAAGTATTAGGGAAAAAACAGGCAAATAAATAGATCTTGTCCCTTTTTATAGTGTTCATCGAAGATTTTCCCATCGAATTGGAAGATTTCCTTGATTAAGAGACAGAGAAGGCTTTCAGCTCTGATTTCCAATTATTAGAGAATCAAGGCTAGAGATAAATTTCAGGCAACCTAGAACTAATTTCTTTATGACGGGAAATGCTAACGAAGAAAGCAAATGATTTGGATAGGAATGACGCTGAAATTCGTGCCAATGTTTGAATGATTACGGCCATTTTAAGGAAAAATGGAGACTTGGGGAATAAAGGCTGAAATGGCAAATGATAGGTGGCTAGTTAATAAAAACGTTAAAAAGACGGTAAGATTCCCCAGCATATTAAAACATATCACTCGGTTCTTCGGGCCCATTACATTTGGAAGTTTAAATACAATACAGTGCTTTTCTGGAAACCTCGAATTTTCAAATGCTTTATCCTAGTGCGAGCATATTTAATTTGCCAAAATTTTGACAGATTAAAATTACTTATTGAATAATGACCTAAAAACGAGAAATTAAGCAAAAGGGATTAGTGATATAACTTCATAGCTGGGTAAAACTAATTGAGTTCATTCGCCTTTTAATACAATAAGAAGATTTACGACCTCAAATGGCCACTGAAAATAAATCCTAGAAATTCAATTTGTTGGTTTTTTAGTAAACCATTAGGTTAAAACTGTCACATTTGACAGTTTGTACATCCTGAAGAAAATAGACTTACTAATTTTCCAGCCTGTCTTTGACCCTTTTCCTCAATATGGCGCGCCAAAGTTCCATGTCGCCGAACCAGTTCGGCTTCAAGTAGTCTATGTCTGGCGGAAAGCAGGTGTAGGCGGGCCAAAACCTGAGCACCTGGGTCAGGTCTCGAGATCAGACCATAATTCAGATCCAAGTCAGTTGTTGGGCCCACTTCTGGATCATAATAAATGGCTTTGGCTGAATTCTTAATCATTTGCCTATCGCTGGTTGTTATAGCCTTGCTCATTGGAAAGCCAGATGCAGAGCAAGAAAGCAACGCTATAGATGAGGTCAATAGCTGTGGAGACAATCTAGTCATGTTGGCTTGCAAAGGTGAAAAATCCAAAAAGGAGAGTCCGCAGACCTTTAGTTGATCCTGATGGATGTAATAGGACAATTATGAATGGTTTCGTAGAATATATAAGAGTGAATAGCAACATTTCAGCGTGAAGCGACTTGATAGAACTTTTGTAGTATAACTGAAACGGATAACTTTTGGCCCATTTAATTTCAAAACAATTATATGCAAAGGTGATAAGAAGCGTCATTTTACCTCAGAGCTCATCATATTGCCTTAGAAAAATAGAAAAAGCAAAATAATATTTGATTTTATTTGAAAATGACAGAATACTAGACCATTACTAGTCAGTTATAATTTTAATAATAAGGGGTGCTAGAAGTCATAGGTAAGGAAATGACAGTTGTCACGATAGAAGTACAATAAAGCAGAAGAACTGAGAAATAGAAGACCTAGGTTGTGTAGCAAAGCAGAGTTACGTTGAGGGCAACCGTTTGGTATGTATACGCAAAGATTTGTAAGCAATCTGTTGACCAGAACATTTGGGCCTGAGGCCCTACTTATTATTTATTACAAGATTATTTAGAAAAGATACAGACCTATGCATTACAATAAATGCTGAAGATGTGTTCTAGAAATAGTTTGGGTCTAATAATAGTTTAGTTCAGCTCTCTATTGCACAAGGTTGACATCTTACACAAAGAAACACACTTCAATTTTATTTGCAATGAAAGTTTTACAATGAATGAATTCATAAAGCATAAGCAATGCATTGAATACACGATGACTCTTTGTTTAAATACAACTTATGAAATGGGATAATAAGTGGCAGCTAATGTAAGGCGCCATTATCTTCTGTAATTAGGCCTATCTACGAATCCTACTTTACATTCGAATAAAAAACATACTTTTCCTGAATTTTAAGGAAATAAATCCGCCTTTATTTACTTATATAAAGCTGCTAGATCTCTTTATGTCAACGTTCCTGATTCGTCGAATATTCTTTTAGAAGGCAATTATGAATACAGTTGCTGTAGTGATTAGTTGACAGTTTGACCAGGATTTTACTCAAAACCGTATTCCGAAAATCTTTATACAGCTCGTAATCTAGCATCCAAAGAAAGGAGACACCAAGAGGGCTCAAAATTGCTTAATAGAAATTTTAAAAATCGCAGTTAGCCTTTGTTAATATTTATTGTATATAATGAAACCATGCAATCTTGTTCATGACCGGCTTTTAATCTTACCATGAAGCCCGGTTTAAGGCGCATAAGGATGACTATGAATTTATTCCAATGCTTATTTGCTGGTCCCAATGGTGCCATTTATTTCACTAAAATATATCTGATTTGAGAGCAGACTCACTTAATTTTTAATGGTCTTTTAAGCATAGAAACTATGTTCAAAATTATAGCATGGAGCTAATACTTTCTCAAAATGGTTTATGACATTTATTGAACATGGAATTATTAATCTCACTGGCAGTTACTATCGTCCCCCACAATCTGAAAAGTCTCAAGTCCGAGCACATATAAACCGAATACCTTACTTATGTATGAGTTTTGCATTTAATAGTTAGAAAATAGATTAAGGATATAGATAAGGGAATTCAGTATTACATATATGTTTGATCGCCATTGACAAATAATGGAATATATAGGTAAATATATCAAAATTAAATTTCTGATCTCTGTTTCTCTTACATAAGCAAATAACTCTAAAGTTAAATTATTTTGTCAAAGTTAAAGCATCAATCCGCATGTTTACAATTAAAAGCCGACATTATAATAATCCAATAAAACATAAGTGACAACGATTTTAAAATAAAAGCATCGAATGGATTTGATATTAAAATAGAAAATTTAATAATAATGATGAATTCGGCCCAAGATATTGCCTTTATTTATTTAACTTGTTCCTTAAACAGCGATATAAGGACATTGACTTGACAGGCAAACTTTTTTAAGATGATCTTGTTAAGAAGTTATAAAGAATACTCACGATTTACACGTTTTTTACGAGTTTCATAAGACTTTTTTCCTAAGGCCTGAATGCCCCGATAATTGCTAATCAAATCTTCCTCCAATAGTTTACGTGGTTTAATAAAAGGCAGCATTGTCGAGCCTGGACAAAGGAGCTGAGTAATATGTCCGAAAATGCATGCACCCACATATTTCTACCAGCATTCGAAATTAACCATGTTATTTACCATTTAACTGACTATTTTTTGCTGATGTTTTCACCCTATGTTGTTGTTGGCTGCCTGCTAAAGAGAAATGGCTGTTAGTCTGTGCTTCATTAAGGGATATCTATGTTGGTCACACTTACCTTGAAGCTAATGGATTTGTGGGCTGCATCAGCTTTTCCATGGGTTCTTCCCCAAGTAGCGTGCTTATGATTGTATAATCTAGTATGGATGAATATTCATTAGTAATAAGCTAGATATAACACTTGGGAATATATCTTGGTTTATACACAATGTTGCACATATTTTTTCGCTGATAAGAGCTGTATTGTATTAATCAAATGAAGTTATTAAGAGCCGTAGTCGCCTTAGGACGATCAAGTTTGTTGGACAAATTAGGCCTAATGATTCCATCAAATTTCACTCAGCCTTGCCTCCATGAGGTATTATTATCCATTATGGACTGCAATTTTGATCTGGCCTGGATCTTACCGGCACCATTTAGTATCAGTCTTTCGCTACTCCAAGAGACCCTGGGTGACTATAGTTGTAGTGCAAAATATTCTCTGGCATCTACTCATAATAACTACATATGAAATTATTATTTTTTCGCCAAAATATCTCATTTTTATTTCCATAAATAAATTTCTTTACTAAATTTGTGTTAACTTCTGATATATTAAAAAATCGAGAGACTTAAAGCCGGCTTAGCTCCATACCATATCACAATTTAATATTCTAGTTTCAATGAGTAACCATCTATCCATTAATTGTAAGCCAATATTGGCATACTAAAACGTATAGTCATCATGAAAAAAATGGATAGTTATTAGTTTATAGAATAGCGACATCACAAAAGACACTTAAGCTTATCATAAAAATAAAGCAAAGTATATTCCGCTTCAGGGTTTAGTGTAATAAATAGTTTTACCCTAGTTATGATACTAAAAGGAGTCCTGAGAACATGTAAGCTAGGCTCAAATAAACCGTATTATTGTATATGTACTATAGTAAAATTTTAATTCTATGTGAGACTTAGTTAATCCTGAATATGAATTTAAATGATTCTTAGTCACTTAAGATGATTCAAGAAAGGATAGTTAAAATTCGCCTTACGATGCCAACAAATTTTATTTAGTATTATGTCCCAAAATGTCTTCTCAATTAAAGTTGACCATCATTTTGACCCTGCCTATGTCCCACCAACCCTAAAAATAGGAGACTAAACCAGATAGTCTGCATAAATAGGTATGTTACCTCTCCGAAGCCCAGTCATCATGCTAGTTGATCGCGGGATAAAATAACCAAGTTTGAAATAACATATACAAGTTTGCCTCATAGAAAATCCTACCATAAATGCGATAACGAAGAAGTCTCGTGTGTTCTTAAAGTAACATCGCCCTTTAGGCCCACTCTTAGTTTTGGCTGTAAGGAGGAATGGTAACGTACCGCCATATTACGCATAAAACTCGGTTTTATTTTTCATTTAGCATTTTTTAGAAAATAAGTTACACTCTACCTTAGGCAACCGATAGGAAGGGAATGATTGGTTACATTTAATGGCATCATGAAGCATGTTCATTCTTTG